TGGGCTCCCTGAAAACCAGGTAGGAGTGTGGATCCCATTCCAACAGCCCCCGTGCCCCCTTCCCTCTTGGGACTCCTGCTGAATGGCCTTCTGTGTCCACAATGTCACCCTGGACTGTGTCCTGTCTCTGTGGTCCCTCACATCACGTGTCTGGTGTCCTGACCTGGTCTGTGACTCCTGCCTACTTCCTCCAGACCTAACGCCCCTGAGGACCCCCAGCCAGTGACCGAAGAGCACTCTGTCCCTGCCTGGAAGGTCCCCGGCCCCAGGCAGGAGGCACACCTGGGTTGTCTGGGGGCCAGCCTGGGAGACGGGGGCAACATGAGGCATTCCAGAGAAGCAGCTCAGCACACTGCCAGCAACATGGGGCACATCCTGTCTCTTCAAGAGAGATGTACACAGAGGTGAGGCAGGCGGCGCTCCAGAGCAGGAGGAAAGGAAGCCACTGCGGGGTGTTATTTCTATTAATAGAATGAGGTCCTGGGACAGCACCAATGCCGGACTCTCCCGGAGGACTGAGAGGTCACTGCCCGGAACAGCAGGCCATCTTGCTCCCTCCACCCCACCCCCGCACTCCCCAAACCCAAGTCAGACGACCCTGAGTGAGCGCCCGTGGGCCAGGCCAGCAGAGGCCCTGCGATGGCCCTCAAGTGGCTCTCGGCAAATCACTCTCCACGTCCCCGTCTACACTGAGGGCAGGTTTGTCTGTTTGCTGGGAATGAGCCAGCAAATGCAGTGACTTCCCTTCTGCTCTGGGCCTAAGGCCCAAACCAAGAATCTCCCTGGTGCAGGGCAGACGCAGGACTTTAAAATCACGTGCTACAAAAGCAGATGTTCATTATTACACTGACTATTCTGGAAGCTTCGTTTCATTAGGAGGAATCTGATATAACCCATAATTCCATTTGCAAAGTTTAAAGAAGGTTTCTTAAAAACACAGTCAGGACAGACCGCGTTCTGTAAGTTTTCTCTCCAAGCGCTTTTCCCAGGCAACCAACCGGGGTTTACAAACAGTCACAGGGTGTGGGCTTTGGAATCTCGAGTCCAGACCAAGACCCCCGCCAGCACACCCCTGCCATTGCTGACCTCATCCTTGGGGCAAAGGGCCCAGGAGAAGACAAGCTCCCCAAAGCAGGCACTCAGAACTGCTGTCCAGGGCCGCTGACCTCACGCCCTCCCCCCGCCAGCACCAGAAGTCCCAGCACTGATCGGAACACAGGCCGCAAATCAATCAGGAAAAAGCCGTTTTCCTTCTACGTCCTATCCGAATCTGCTGCTTTTCTGCAGCCGGAGAAGACCACCAGGGGCTCCCAGGGGATGGTCTGAGGAAATACAGACCGTATTCTAATCCACGCATCAGAAAAACCCTCAGGGGCTGGGCCGCTCAAACGCAGGTTGCTGAAAATTCTGCACGTAGAGCTGACTTTCTTTCTGACTTTCTGTCTTCGTTTCCTTTTGCCTCATGATGCTAGTACTATCGCGGCCTCCTCCCGCACCAAATCCCCAAAGAACATGTTAGTTCTCTTATCTCCCATAGCGTCTGGCACCCTACGAGCAAGCACATACTTAATAAGTTGACTGGGTTCAAATTTATTATGCGACCTATTATGGGTTGGATTGTGTCCCCCCAAATTCCAATGTTTAAGCCCTCACTCGCCGAAGTGCAGGCCGTGACCCTATTCGGAAACAAGGTCGTGCAGATGGAACTGGTTGAGTTGAGGTCAACTGGGGGCCGGTGGTCCTCATCCAAGGACGGCGTCCTTACAAAAGGGGAGGTGAGGACACAGCAGAGACCACAGGGAACACCATGGGGACACTGGACATATGCTGGACCCCCTTCCCCGGCGCCTTCCGAGGGAGCGAGGGCCTGCCTGCACCCCGATCCTGGGCCTGTGCCTCCAGGACTGGGGGAGAGCAGGTGCGTGGAGCAGCCCGCCCGGGCAAGGGTTCTGTTGGGGCCCAGAACACAGATATCCGTCCCGACAGCTGAACCCAATCTAAATGCTCACATACACACCCAGGAAATCTACCAAGAAAAGCGGGTTGCAGGACTGTCAACTGTGAGTACAGATGTGGATGGAGGGAAAGTCTCCCAGGAACACTTCACTGACCTGGCGTGTTCTGTGGGCTCTGGGGCCCAGGGAGAAAGAACCAGGCTCCCTGAGATGCTCTCGCTGAACCAAGCGACTCCACATGCCACGTCCAGGAGCAAAACTCAAGCAACATGTCATCATTCCCACCACGTCAGTGCGCTCATCAGAGATGGTTCCCTCCAGAACTCGTACATCTTGGCTTCACCCTCTGATAAATAGTCTAAAAAAGGTTTGAAGCAGTAATTCATGACCTGCGGGAGCCGGACTCCCTGGATTCTGCCGCCTTCATGGGTTCCCATCCCAGGAGGGATGACGGAAGCCAGCAGCGGGAGTAGCTCAGCAAAACGTCCCAGCCGTCCCTACAGAAAATCAAAGCACAAGAGCCCCATACGCAGAGATCCGGGAAACCGTGGAATCCCCCTGTCTCCCCTACAGCACAGAACGTGGCAGCGGCCACAATGGAAAGGGTCTCTCTTCTGAACTGTTTGTCTACAGAGTCTATGCGCTGCCCCACCCCGTGCCTCTGGCCTCCCACCTCAAGAAAAACAGACATGACCAAGGGGAACCCCGAAAGAAAAGTTTGACAATCTGAACCAAAATGAATGTCTGCCTGGTTCTAGGCCCCTTTGACTGGCTCCAAAGTAGAACAAATGAACAGAACGCGAGAAGCACATTAGCACATGTTTTCTTAATGAAAGGCACATGGGAAACCTGAGCCTCCTCCAAACTTGCCTTCGTACTGTGCCTTCCCCAGCCCAGGGGTCTGTCCTCAACCACGGCTCTGCCAATGTGAGGCTGCGGGTGGCTCCTACCACTAGAACCAGTCGTCAGGGTGTCCATGTGGCAAACTGGGGTGAAGTTAAGGCCCTTTCGACTCCCCATGAATATTCAGTGAGGTTTCCAAACGCTCCCATGGAAAGCGGGCCACTGTCCCACCTGTCTGCTTTGAGGCTCACGGTACTCGGTGTGCAAGCCCAAAAAGATACCTCCGTTTAAGAAAATGCAAAAGCTCGTGAAACTTCAGAAACCCCAGTTTTTTAGAGGCAGAGATTGGCTAATATTTTACTCCAAAAACCTACCTTTGAACTGCAGAGAGTCAGGAGCTCTGGCCATAATTTGTGCCCTTGGTGTGAAATTTGCATTGTGGCGGAGACAGTCAGAAACAAACCCGTGGGGGCCGTGGGGCAGGGACTGGGGAGGGTGGGGGGGACAGTGGCAATTGGGCTCCTGCAAGCTAAACACTGTATTTCCTCCTCAATCCCCCCTCCTTGTAGGAGGATGGAAGGAGGGCTACAGTTTTGAAAGCAGATCTTCCTAGAATGTACAAGGAAATGATCACTGAAGTCAGATGATCCAATCAATGCCGTTAATATGCCAAGTAATGCACACTGATGGTTTGATAGTAACATGTTTTCATCCAGACCACGCGTGACATTTCCTAAAGCTTCCCTCTCCGTCACGGAACAGCATTTTATAGGAGCATGTTTTGGTGGACTGAGTGTGGACTGTCAGGGCCCGGCAACATCTGTCTTTTATTACCAGAGCTCTTGATATCCAGATGACAACAAAGTGGTCTGAGTGCCCTGCGAGTTGGATTGGGCTCCTCAGTCCTGTCTTAAATCATGATTTTATTGTGACATCAGCTTCGTTTACAAGCAACATTTTTATTTCCTGGACAGGCAGGCTGCTCTGCACTCTAATGCAGATTCTGTTTCCGTATGTACGGTCCAAGTAATAAAAATGCCTGAAACTAGCGTGCATGCAAAATTCGTATTGAATAAAACCTCTTCCGACCCTTGAAAATGCAGCGCCAAAACACGCGCAAACTTCTAAGATGAAACGTTTTACTTTCTCAAGTCACCTAATGAGCACTGTATTAGCAAAGAGTCCCTGCGCGGTTAGGGCCAATACAACCCCATTTATAAAATTAGGGGTTTTCCCCCTAATTATGCTGTGCTTCAGCTTCTACGTTTAACCCCTTGTAAGTAACTGTTGATCTTAATATTCTGTGCTGGCCCAAAGCAGGGGTGGGGGACGAAACTGCAGCGTTTCTGAAATGCAGGGAGACCTCGTTTTGAAAAGCCCTTCGCGGCGGCCCCTGCTTTGTCAGCCTGTGTAAGAGGAAAGCAAACTTTAATCACTCACAGAGACCGGGGTCAAGGTTCACACTGCAGCCCCGGGGAAACCACCCGCCACCAAGCCAGAAGCGGGGTCGGGGGGCCCCGGGATTCGGCTCAAAAGCAGGAATGGACCTGAAAACCAAATGAGAACGTGAAGGCGGCCTCGCAGCGCGCCGGGGCTCCCGCGGGTCCGCCGGGCGCGGGGCTCGGAGCCGGGAGTTGGCCGCGCGGAGGCCGCAGGCCGTGTCGCGGGCGGCCCCGCTCTGCATCGCCGCGTCCGCTCGGACCGCACGGCAACCGGCCGCTGAAGCGGAGCCGCAACTCCGCGGCGAGACGGCGCCCGCAAAACTGCGGGAACAAAGCCCGGGAGGGAGCTGCGCGCGCGCCGGGGCGCGGTTCTCTGCTCGGGTCACGGAGAGGCGCGACTCCACCTCCGCGCGCGGCGCAGTCGCCGCTCCCCTTCCCCGCGGCCTCGGCGGGGCCGCTCCCCCCGGACGCGGCCGGCCCCCCGCCCCGCCGCCTCGCCGCCCCGCACACAATGGCGCCCCGAGCTCCCGCCGCCCGGGCCTCGCGCCGCCTGCGCGCCCCCCGCGCGGGCCCCGTTCCCGGGTCCGCGCACAAAGGAGGCGCGTGGGCTCGTCCGCGCCCCGCGCGGCCGCCAGGTGCCGGCGCCCCGCGACCCCGCGCCCGCGCGTCTCCGCGCACCCCGGGCCGCGGCAGGAACGAGGCGGGGCGCCCACCGCCCGGGGCCTGGACGCCGCGGGGGCGCGAGCCCGGCGCCACTTACTTTCTCGATGGTCCCGGGCAGCAGGCGCTCCAGCAGCCGGCACAGGACCACCCCGTCCTTCAGAGACGCCTGCAGGAAGCCCTCCGGGTCCGCGATGGTTTTCTTGGGCGACTCCAGCACCCCCAGGGTGATGAGCCACGTAACGGTCTGCTCGGCGGAATTCATAGCGGCGGCGCGCCCGGCCTCCCCGCGCCGCGAGCCCGGCTGGGCGCCGTTCACCTCGGAGCGGCCGCGGCCCTGCCGGCTGCGCCCCCCGCCCCCCCCGGCTCGCCCATGGACAGGCCGGCCCCGCGATTGGCTCGGGCGGCGCCGCGGTCCGGCCGGCTCGCGCTCCCTCGCGTGCGTCCTGGCCGACTGTCAAGTGCCTTTTCATTAGATGCACATGAACCTGCGGCGGCCGCCCGGCGCCGCCCCCGCCGCCGCCTCCCGGCTCCCCGCCGCCGCCGCCGATGACATCACCGCGAGGAGAAGAAAAGACGCGGCGCCGGAGAGGCCCCGCGCCGGCCGGCCGCACACGCACCCCGCGC